TCTTTCTCTCTCTCTCACCCTCTTCTATCGCAAAATATCCAATAAAATTGTTCCTGATTATTTAAACATATATACATATATTTGCCCCTCGTTTTCTTTTGCACTCTGAGATTCTGCTAACGAACCCCTCACGACTCCCACTTGAGTTAAGCAGATTGTGACACTCCCCTGTCCCCAGTGCTGTCCCACCATTGTGCACCAGCAGATGTGGTCTCAGTCCTCTCTCCTTCAGCAGGCGGCAGGCGGCCGGAGCTGGCGCCGTCACCTCGGCCACYGACACATCAAAGCCCAGGGCACGCAGCTTCCCAACGAAATTCTCCCGGGTTTCTTGGGTCTCATTGGTGCAGAGATGCAGCTTCAGCCCAGAGGCTTTGATCCTGCAGGGGGAAAGAGGCAGAGGGGTTAGCCACGTGGGGAAAATTATGTCAGGGTGTCAGTTCTGCTAAAAAAGGAAAGGTATTTCAAACGAGGAGGAGCTGGATCCTTTTCTTTGAACAGATGCACCCAAAATCCTGATTGTTTTTTTTTTTTCTCCCAGTTCCTTATCTCAACTCATGAATCCTTGTGTTAATTATTGGGTTTTTTTCCTGTGGGTGCCTGGCATCTGGCCAGGGTTCAAACCACGACACTCTGGGCACTGCAGCTGCCAGTTTGTCCGAGCTTTATCAACGCTGGGGTGAATCCTGTTACATTTATCACRAAATCTCTCACAAAACACCTGTGCTGTTACTTGGTGGATGATCCTGAAAAATCTGGCACTTCAACAGGTTTGTTATTAAATGTTTTACAGGTAAATGGCTGCTCAGGGGTAGGAAACACAGCCACGAGTGTCCAGAGACAAGGACACGGCTTGGGGGGACAACACTCTGCAAAAGTTGTGCTGTTGCMCCATCCCTGGAAGTGCCCAAGKCCARGCTGGACAGGGCTKGGAGCACCCTGGGACAGTARAAAGTGTCCTTTCCRTGGYTGGGGTGGCACTGGATGGGATTTAAGGTCCYTCCCAACCCAAAACTGGGATTCTGTGAATCCCCTGCAAGTCCTCTGCCTCTGAGCAGCTTTGTTTCCTGACCCAAGCTGGTGACCTGCTGTCAATGTCCCCAAAAAGCCTTTTCCCCAAGGATGAGCTGTCAGCTATTTGGAGACCCAGTGTATTTCAAAGTGGCCACAGAAAATCAGAAGTACTGAAAATGTACCACAATTWAAAAAAAATAATAAACATTTGCTCCTGAAATATATGAAAATGCCTAATTTTGTCAGTTTCCATGTGAATTTCTGCATAATTATCTTTGAGGATCTGACCACATGCAGGTTCAGACACTTAGGTAGGTCTGGAATTAGGCTTATAAATTCTTATAAAAATACTCCAACTCTTCTTTGTATTAAAATGAAAAAGGAATTTTTTTATTAAGAAAATCCCTGCACTAATTCTCAAGACAACAGAACATGCAGGGTTCATTTCATAAGGAAAATGACCTCAACTGGTTGGTGCAAGCACCAAAWCCACCTTGAGATGATGCATCCCATGATGAACTTCCCATCAAAGGATTCTTGGAAATCTGGTCCTGACCCAGACAGCCCCTTCTGCTCGTTAAAACTGCAYGCCAGTGTCTTCCTTAATAATGCTGGTGATTCATTCCTTTCTTATTATTTGTCTTTCCTAATCATAGATATGTGAATTATCAATTACACTTAGTGGTTAATTGCCCTTCATAAAGATAGCTTTTCTCTTTTAAATTAGGCAGTTAATATATTGTAACTAATAGCATCCACTTGTACATTATAAATATATCTTCATTGATTGGAGCACTGAATGTGAGATTCACTCTCAAGTTAATGAAGCAATTGAGTGAAGAAGTGCAGGGTGCACCCAGGGAATAATTACTGTTAATGAATTATGATGTGACCTTCTCAGAACAATGAACAATTGGTGTGACAGTGGGATGACAATATTCCACATCTGTTATTCGAGACATGGTTTCTGCTGGAGTTAAAAAGCAAAGCAGCCTAATCTGGATACACAACAAACTTTAATAGAATGTGCCATGGTTAGAAGAAATTTATTCGAAATGCAGAACCTCTCTGCACAATCTTAGGGGGAAAACAATCCCATGATTCACAACTAGCTGGAAGCAGACGTTTGTTGAGTAAGAATTTACTTTTTCTCTTCCTAAAGTCAGCAAAATGAATCCAGGGACAGCACAAATCCCAGACCTGCACAGACAACCAGCACCCTCATGGTCAGCCTGGTGAAAGCACAGATTCACTCTCCCTGTACTGCAAACTTCATTTCTTCCTCAGCATTTTAGGTGAAAACCAGACTGAAGCTTCTGAAAGGACTGACCAAAGCAGAAGCAGTCTGGACACATCCCCGACACCAACCCCAACACCACCCCAACAAATGAACTCKGGAAATGCTCAGGATCAGTTCCACAAAGAGTTAGGCCAAGCTGGACAAAAAATGGGAGTCTTTTGGTAACACATGAAAAGGACTTTCAAAAAGACCCTGTAACACTAAACGAAAGAAAAATCAACAAAACTCTAGAGAAGATTTATTTCTACAAAAATATCTTTCCAATGAACAGCCACCTTCTTCTTCCCAATTAGCATCTCTAAATTAAAGAGCCCCTGTTAACTCTGCCAAATCCTTGCAGAATAGAACAGCCACACTCCCCTGTACATTCAGGATTTCACACACACTGGGATGGGTGAGTCCATCCCTGGATGCTCAGCACAGGATGGGAGCAGAGCCTGCAGGCCAGCAAACAACCATAAATTCAGAGTTTCAATAATCAGGGAGAGCTTTCACCAACAGCTCTGCTCCAATCCTGTTTACAGCAAAACTCCCCTTCACTTTCCCTGCTCAGGCAGGTTTTGCACTAAAAGAGATGGCTTAAAGTTCTCTGTCTGATAGGTGAGATGCTTTGCCCAGTGAGTCTGCAAAGGACAATCTGCAGCCTCTGCATTGACCCTCTGCTCACACTCCCAGCAAAGCAATTYCCACTGCTGGCAAGCGTGGGGATGTCAGGAGAAGAATAAAGAACAAGATTTGTAATGTGATGTCCTGTAAGATAAAGAGCAAGGGATTAGAGAGCTGAAAGCACAGAGGAATGAGGCACCAGGAGATGAAACACACGACTGATGGAGATGGAGATCTGCCTTGTTACAGATTGATCAGCAGCTCCATCACACAGGCACACCCAGGAACCCCAGATACTCAGGCCTTCAGCTGCCTCGCACAAACTGTGGCTGTGATAAAGATCCCACCCAGCTCCAAAAGTGCTGGAATTGATCCTGATGAGAGCAGGCAGTGCTGTTCTCCATCCTGCAGGGACACAGCGTGGCCCAGGCTGATGGGGACATCCCCAGGATGCCTCTCCCTCCTGTTTGGGACCAACAGCAGGATCAGCATCACACAAATCCCTCTGTTTCCAACATCACTGTCACATCCCTCCTAAAGCCATGAGCAGGAACGGGGGAGCTTCACCTGCGTGAGGGAGAGCAGCTTCTAACCCTCCAGAGTGTCACAAATGCCAAACTCCAAATGCCAAACTTTTGCTAAAGTGGCAAAAAACTTGTCAGAGCTCTGTCTGAAGGGGCTGGCAGAGCAGATGAAGGCTCAGTGTCCCCTCCAGCTGTGTCACACAGCTCTGGTGCCAGCCCCTGCTCTGCCAGGGACCTGCCACAGCACTCAGCACTGAAGGAAAACGTCCCAAAAAGAAACTTCCAAACCCCAAATTAAAAGTGGACAGAGGAGGATTGAGCTATCACACCAGCCTTACCAGAGGAGGGATTTAAACCCAGCCCAGACCCAAACAACCACTTGGTCACTCATAKAACCCCCAAATCTTGACCCAGGGCACCCACCCGGCTCCAAGCACACCATGAGCATCCACCCAGGGGAGAGGGGGATGTGAGGGGTTTAATTTCAGCTGTCCCCAGTGCTTGTGCAGCTCTTTGAACTGACCTTTACCTCGTTCTGCTGGAGCAGGACACGGGGCTGAGTGACAATGTCCCACAATGCAATTACCATGCGTCAGATGAGCCGGTCCCTTACAAATCACCTCGAACTTTACACATCTGCTGCCTGTCAGCATCTGCCAGGCTCACTCACCCGAAAATAATGAAAAAAACTCTCATTATTGTTCCATAACAGGTAAAGTGTTAGGACAATTATTGGACATCCTCGCTGACCTTGTGCAGACTCAGCCAAGTGCCCTTGCCAACCTTTACGGGCAGCTTTTGGGCACATAAAACACAAAAGCTGTTCTTTCACATGATGTAAAGGTTGTGACACCAGTAGGAAAAGCAATGGGCCCAGAATCCAGGCTGGGAACCATCACAACTTCAATTCACATTATCCTGCATGTGGCTGAAGCAACTAAGGAAAAGATGTAAGGCTAAATTTCAGATTTCCCACCTTTTCCCATTTTTTTGCAGTGAAGGTTTTCCCTAGGAGAGGAGCAGGGAGAAATTCCTGCCCACAGCCAGAGATCCAGATGGGGCAGAAAGCAAAACCCTGGAAAAGGCAACAAGMCTGAGCTTGGAGACTGTCCAACACCAGCTTCAAAGGAAATGTGCTACGTGAGATTTCCAGAATTGGCTTTTTATCCTGCTTTTGGTTTTTCAGAGTGCTTTGGGGATTGTTTTAATTCAGAAGAAAGCACGTTAAGCACTTCTGCTATTCGGCTCTTATGCACCAGTGGACAAACACCAATGTGCTTCAGTGTAAACCTGTCAGAATTCTGATATTTTGTCTGAAACACAGCACCTGCAATTAATCCAAAAAGCAAAAGCAGGCCTTGTGCAGCAATGCTGTCCTCCCAGGGCTAATGTCAGTGCCCTCTGCAAGGACCAGRGCTGCTGCTCCAGGTAAAACATCTCCTGATCTTGCAGGTTTTTCCTGGCAGAACCTCCCTGGGAGCATCACACGCACCTGAGGATGAAAAAAGAGTTTTATGGCTGAGAGCCATAACCCCTCCTGGGGTCCAGCTGTGGAAATGCTGGTGGGGGGAGAGCACGTTTGCTCTGCTTAAAAAGTGTATTTGTGGCAACAACGTGCTCTATTTTCTCTGGAAATCTCTATTCTTGCCATTGCAGTGGCTATTTCAGCTTCTGAAATAACAGCAGGCAAAGTCATTATTCCAAAAGCCTGAAGGAGGCCACAAGTGCCTTTTTTTCCTCACACAGCACAAGCCTCTCCTAACTCCATGGAAACACTGAATTTCCTGGTGTTTTTTAACTCATTGAGTGCAATGCAATCAGGGGACTGTGGACAGAACTCCAGGATGCTCCTCCTCTATCCCAGTGCYCAAAACATTCAGTTTTTCTGATTTCTGCCATCACAGCACGTCCAAACCGCTCAACTCTTGCTGTCACATCTCTGATGCCATTTTTGTCCCTTGCCCTGCTGATGTTTCCCTCCACTGATTCCTGTCTGAGTGCAGCCMGGCTCATTAAAGCCCTGCTGATCCAACTTTCTGCTCCAGGCTGCCCTGACCAATCCTTTCACGTGGCATTTTGTGGCCCCAGTCCCTCCTGCATTCCCGTGTCTCAAACTCATCTCCACATCTGCCATCTCCCGAGCACAATTTCCTCTCCAGACCCATAKGGCTCACCTCTCTCTAAATATAGAATGGGATAATTTGGAGGCAATCCAAGGAGGGATTGAAGAAGGGATTAAAAAACAGGAGGGCATTACCTTTGCAGATGAATAAAAGCAGATTGATAGCACACATGAAGGAGGCACAAGAAGAGGCCAATGTTACTTGAGGGTGGGCAAGGGTAAAAGTTATTAAATACTCTGGAAACACCACTTGGAGAAAGTATTTGACAGCAAAAACTGAATTAAAAAATCACAAAATTGTAGCTCAGAGCAAACTTTAAAAACCCATCAATGCCTTTATTGGAGTGTTTTTATAATTCAGAATTGTCCAGAGGTATAAAGACACCCTGGAAGCTGCACMTCAAAACAAACACAAAGTCCAGGCTGTCCTGAATCCTCTACAAAGGCCATGGAATACAGCTGGAAACCAGAATTACTGCACAAATTATCCAACACCATAAATCACAGTCCTCCTCCCTGAACAGCAGGGAAGACACAGATTTGTAGGCAGCAATATGCCACAACAGTGAAATCCAGAATCCACTATTTAACAAAAATAACACGTGCTTTTGAAGGGAATCTGCAGAAAAGAAGCACAAAGCAGATAATAAGAGAAATCTCTCTGGTCCATTAAGTTCAGTAACAAGATGCATTTAAGGCTGCAGATTACCAAATCAGCTTAATCTATTACACCAAAAATACTTTAACCACACTGCAARTGGTTAARTAAGTAAACTCTGGTAGAGCTTAARTAGCTGGTAAATCTCCACTTTAGGAGCTGTCAAGGAAAAAATCAGATCTTTGGGGATTCAGTTAGTATGAACRGGTCTGGAATATATTTATTTGYTTTAGGAAAAAYATYTTCATGGACAATATAGTGAATGATACTCCATCAGCTTTCATTCTGTGCAGACAGGGGGGTCTCTGCCATGGCAGGGGGCTGAAACTACATGATCTGTAAGGTTGTTTCCAACCCAAATTATTCTATGAAGTTGCTAATTACTCCATTAAAAATTCTCTCAAAACCAAGTTACCTTTGTCAGGGTTGAATTCTCACTTTGTACACAAACAGCACCTGTTTGTAAGGAAGAAATTCCATTTCTGAGACCCTAAAGGTTAATGATGTATAAATCCCAAAAATGCAAGCACTTACTCATGCAATTTGTGCAGACAGCCCATGAGCAGCCACAACTTGAGGGACACAGATCATGTTAAAGGAATAATGAACACTGCTGGTTAGGAAAACAATTATGGGCTAGGAATATCCACTGCTCTCAGAAAACTGAGAGAACAGCTCATGTTACTGGAGTGAAGCTGAGACAGCTCTGAACCCACTGAGCATCAATTCTGGGATCCCTTTCCAGCTCTGCCAGGGAACAGCTACACAAGACATTAGGTGGATATTAGAAAAAAGTTCTTTACAGAAAGTGTGATAAAGCACTGGAATTGGCTGCCCAGGGAGGGGGTGCAGTCACCATCCCTGGATGAGTAAAACAAAGATTGGATGTGGTGCTTGGTGCTGGGATTTAGTTGAGGTGTTGAGCATGGGTTGGACTCGAGGATCTTGAAGGTCTCTCCAACCCTGGTGATTCTGGGATTCTGTGACTTTTTGTGCCTCTGCTGCTTTGGGAGGGCAGTGACACCCACCCTTCTCTGGATGAAAGYGCAGAGAGAATCAAGTACAGAGACAAATGAACAGATATTAACACAGGASTCTGCAGAGTTTATCTGAAGTCTCTTTCCAGGAGGAACAGCTCCTTTTCCATCCCATGTCCCAAAGACACAGCAAACCTTGGAACACTGAACATCTGCACAGCCTGTGCTGAGCCACATTATCTGCTGTGACAACAAAGCTCCCCTGCTCCTGGTGGCACTCACACTTCCAAAAGGCTCTTTGTGAGCTCCCAGCTCACCCGAACCCCCACACCCTGAATTGTTTTACAGTCCCGGTTCCGCTTGTTCCCCTCACAATGTTCTCCTTGTTCCCCTCTCCAGGTATTGCACTTTAACAGGACTGTCCAGCTGCTCCCCAGATTTCCGCTGCCCCTTTCAAGRGCTCTGCAAAAAGCTGTGCTAACAGATGCACTATCCCAGCCCAACAACAGGATGTTGTAAAAGTCCAACTACTGTGTGCTTTTCATATGGATATGCTAATGGGAACACTATCAGCACACAGCTGTAAATGCAAATGCCAAAGCACAGGCTGAGCATCTTTTATGGATGTTTAACCACCTTCTGCCTTGTAAGGGACCAGCTCCCTGCTATTTGGAAGATAAAAAAGCGACTGGCTCACCTCGTGTCAATGCTGTGTAAATCGATTAAGACAATAACAGCACAGCACAGAGGCTCTGTTAGGGCCGGTTCCAGGAGAAGCCTTTAAGTCACCGATGGCCTTTCTTGTCCCTGGGCTTTCTGATCTGCTCCAAAGCATCTGCCAGGGAATGCACACGCTGGGGGGAGATGGGTGGGGTTTATGGAGCTTTCTTTGAAACAATGACAAAGACATGCCACGGTAAATTAAACTATCAGGAAATGTTATGGGTTGTAAGTTTCATAGGAATAAATTATCTTATTGAGCGACTCTTGGATTTTTTAGCCATCCTCTGGTCTAAAATCTCCACCTAAAGGTAATAACAGTCCCTAAGAAATTCAGAGAAATTCCTGGCTCCTGGGTCAAACCAGAGGTGCCAATACCCTTTGGCACATGGGTGCCTGGCTGCCACGGTCTGGATGAGTAACAAGGTTGTTGTTCWCTTTATCCTATGAGTACAGGATGAGCTCTGCTCTGCTCAACAAATATTCCTGTGGTCCAACCTCTCAGCCTCCAACCCAGCAACCCCCTCTCAGTGCACATTGAATCCTCTGATTCAGTGTACTTCAGGTACATGAGAATAAATAAATAAATACAGCATTTCCAACTGTAACACTCAGCGTTTCATTGACGCCTTGCTCAGGAGAGTCTCTACAGCCCTGGGAAGTTGCTGAATGTCACCTTGCTCAGGGTGTTCCAGTGTCCATCAGCTTCTCTGGCCATGTTTCTGCTCCATCTGACCACCCTGTTAGCTAAAATCAAACAAACCAGGGGCAAGCATYGCTCTGCAGCCACCACAAACAGAAACCAGGGCAAACTCTGCTGCAGAAATGACATTGCTCCTCTCTCAAAGACCAACTCCAGTACCTGCATAGCAGAATTTGGCTGAAAACAAGAGAAATAATGGAGCAAATGTAGTTTTAAGAGGTCGGAATGGCCTCAGTCACATGAAACCAATGACAAATTAGTGTGTTGATTTAGGATTTTTACTGGAGTGTGCTGTATGTTGTCACACTGTTAATTGCTGTAATAGAGAAGAAGATGTAGCAATACAGTCTGAAAGGAACAGGTCAGCTGTCATGTTTTAAGAACCCTTATCTTCATTATGAGTTATCAAAATGGTATTTAAGGTTTCTGTTGGACATGCACACACACTAAAAGATGTTAGCTCCTTCAGCAGAGGGCCACATCAATTTGAAAGAGTTGTGAAGCTCCTTCCTACCTGCAATTCTGACTCTTTAATTGATTTTTTTTAAAAAGTGAATTAATTAAAAAAGAGCTCTTTTAAGCTTTGATGCATCTGCTTGGAACCATGCAGCTGTACTGTGACGCAGACACAAATATTAATGAGCAACTGGCAACAGCATAATGAGTCAATGAAGATTTTAAATGGTGTRAGCCAGAACAATTACTAACCTAATAGGCAGATAAATAAGGCTACTTGACTTTACCCAAGGAAAGTGATTTTCCTTCACCACTTACATTGAATGACCTGAATAAAGTGGTTTGGTGAGGGTTTTTTTTTCCCTTTCTGGCACTTTTCCATCATGCTGTCCCAATTCCCACAGCTATGACCACTGTTTCTCCCCTGCTCACCAAATCCTGGCCTAAAAAGATCAGCTTTCCCTGCACAGAGCCAAAAGGCTCTTCCAGAAATGCACAGTCACACGATCAATCTTTAAACAAAGTTTAAAGACACGATCTGTCTTCAAACAAAGTTGTCCCTGTGGTCACTGCTCTCCCCTGGCCCCATCCCGCTCCTCTGGTCAAGCAAGGCCAATGCAGACACTCTGCCAAGCCAAGCTAATTAATTAAAGTTAGTTAAGTTAAAGTTACCTAGTTAGTGTTACCTGGATAGTATCACAGCTAAAAGTGAAGGAGTTCCCYACCTGTGAGCACTGGGAGTGACTCACCGTGGGGACACTTTGGTTTTGGGTCATTTCCAAGCTGGGTAATCATTAACCCCAGCACTGAAATTCCCCATTTCTGCTGGGCTGCGAGTTCCCTGCAAGMAGCCCCAGATAATTTGACAGCAAAGTCAATCAATTGGCAGAAACACCGTGCCCGTGGGTAATATTTAAAATATGATTACCAGGGGACAGTGCCAGATCTCTGCCAGCTCTGCTGTGMCAGCAGCGAACACAGAACCACGCGGGATGCGCTGCTGCACCGCCCCACGCTCCTCTCCCCATCAGCCCAAGGTCTGCGGGCTCCCCTCGCTCAAATCATCCTAAAAAGCACCGAGCCGGCCCTAAAAGCTCCCGTTTCCTGTCCGGGAATGGAGTGAAACCACCGGGGGCTGCAATCAAGCCCCCTTTCAGCGGTGCCACCGMCGCCCTGCGGTGCAGCCCCAAGCGCACGCTGTGCTTTGGGACCCCCGGCCCCGCCGCCCCATTCCCCACCCATTCACCCACCAACCTGCGCAGGGCCTCGGCCGAGCCCGCGATGGGGACACCGCCGTCGGCTCCGCCGTCGTAGAGAACCCCGCTGACATCGAGAAGCAGCCCCCGAACGGTGCGGGCCCAGCCCCAGCCCGCCATGGCCGCACCGCCCCGCCCCGCGCCCGGCGCTGCCGGGAAATGCAGTCCGGGGATGAAACACGGGGAAATGCTGTCCCGGGAAATGCAGTCTGGGGATGAAACACCGGGAAATGCAGTCCCGGGAAATGCAGTCCGGGATGAAACACCGGGAAATGCAGTCCGGGATGCAATACTGGGAAATGCAGTCCGGGGAAATGCAGTCCGGGATGCAACACCGGGAAATGCAACACCGGGAAATGCAGTCCGGGATGCAACACCGGGAAATGCAGTCCGGGATGAAACACCGGGAAATGCGGTCCGGGATGAAACACCGGGAAATGCAGTCCGGGGATGAAACACCGGGAAATGCAACACCGGGAAATGCAGTCCGGGGATGAAACACCGGGAAATGCAGTCCCGGGATGAAACACCGGGAAATGCAACACCGGGAAATGCAACACGGGGAAATGCAGTCCGGGAAATGCAGTCCGGGGATGAAACACCGGGAAATGCAGTCCCGGGAAATGCAGTCCCGGGAAATGCAGTCCGGGGATGCAATACCGGGAAATGCAGTCCGGGAAATGCAGTCCGGGGATGAAACACCGGGAAATGCAACACCGGGAAATGCAGTCCGGGATGAAACACCGGGAAATGCAGTCTGGGATGCAATACTGGGAAATGCAACACCGGGAAATGCAGTCTGGGATGCAATACTGGGAAATGCAACACCGGGAAATGCAGTCCGGGGATGAAACACCGAGAAATGCAGTCCGGGGATGCGGTCCCGGGATGCGGGAAATGCAGTCCGGGGATGCAACACCGGGAAATGCAGTCCGGGATGCAACACCGGGAAATGCAGTCCCGGGAAATGCAGTCCGGGGATGCAACACCGGGAAATGCAGTCCGGGGGTGCAACACCGGGAATGCAACACCGGGAAATGCAGTCCAGGGATGCAACACCGGGAAATGCAGTCCCGGGAAATGCAGTCCGGGGATGCAACACCGGGAAATGCAACACGGGGAAATGCAGTCTGGGAAATGCAACACCGGGAAATGCAGTCCGGGAATGCAACACCGGGAAATGCAGTCCAGGGATGCAACACCGGGAAATGCAGTCCAGGAATGCAACACTGGAAAATGCAGTCCGGGAATGCAACACCGGGAAATGCGGTACTGGAGATGCGGTCCCTGGAAATGCGGTCCCGGGGATGCTGTCCCGGCTCCGCTCGGCCTCCGAGAGCCGCTCCGCTGCGGGGGAACGGGGAACGGGGAAAAACACCGAGAAGCTGYGCCTGCCCCATCCCTGGAAGCRCTCAAGGCCAACCTGSTCTGGTGGKKGMMWYCCMRSCCMWKG